TACTCTACTTGACTCTACTCTACTCTACTCTCCTCTTCTTTTCTACTCTATTCTATTCCATACTAGTCTACTCTACTCTACTCTACTTTACTCTATTCTACTCTACTCTACTCTACTCTACTCTACTTTACTCTATTCTACTCTACTCTACTCTACTCTACTCTACTCTACTCTACTCTACTCTACTCTACTCTACTCTACTCTACTCTACTCTACTCTACTCTACTCTACTCTTGTATTCTATTCTATTTAGATGAAAAAGGCCAATAAAGCTACATAAGTAGGCACTTGTGGTTCCTTCCACACACGGTTTTAGATAAATGTTTAATAAGACAGATTGTTGCTTTACTTTGTTCCCCAGAAAAAATGGGAATCACCACAGCAACTAGTGACTCAGCATTTTTGCTAGTTCTTACTCATCATGAAACAGACCTCAAATATATAATAGGGGTAACAGAGGGTTGTCCTGCTCTACAATGAAACAATCTAGTTCCACATCAATACAAACCTTTTAGAGCAAATATCTGCTGACTGCTTTTCTACGGACTTTACCGTATGTAAAACCCACCTTATATTTGCTAAGAGTTTTATAAAAATCTTTCACACAATTATACGTATTGTGATTCACAAAAAAAAAGAAAAGATTAACCATACAACACCTACGACGACACATCTGTCGTTCCAGCAACACAGGATGATCTGCTGTGAGATGAAGTGTTTGGAAAAATCAAACATGTGAAGGAACAGTGTATGTTTTTAACGGGGAAAAAATCCTCTTTTCCATGCACAGCTCTCTCTCACACCTGCACCATCAGTTAATCCTTCTCATTTTACGCCCTGACACGATGCAGATAGAGAGATCATTTGTGAGACACTTTTTTAATGTGATGATTGAGACGTACCTGCTGATGTGCAGCCTAAGGAGTTCTTAAAAGCCCACCTCTGATAAAAACCCTCAATGTCATCCCAGATCACAGAAGACACCAGTTTATGTTGCTTCTGTGTGGATAAACAATAAGAGATAGAAAACAAAAGATTACAGGCTAATCTGGTCAAAGCGGAGCTCTGGACAAAGCATTTATGAGCCGATTTAGTTTGATTACTCTAAAACGGCAGAGTGTACAGGCTCAGCCTGCAAACAGATCTCAGCTGACTGTTTCAGGACTGGAGGAGCTGCTTCATCATGGGACCAGAGGAAGAACCTCCTCACAGGAAAGCTCAGGCAGCATAAAGGTGCTCTGGTAATGACACCCAGCTGACAGTGAGGCTGATGTGAAACTCAGCTCTGTGACACCGCAGCTGTGCCACTTATCTGTGGGATTTTGGGGGAACAATGACAACAAAGGACAGCATAACCTGAACTTTAAGATGATTTCAAAGAGCCTGAAACACCTGCAGCATTTGTTTTACCATCCTTAAGGCTGCAAGAGGAGCACATCAAAGGCAAAGCAGGTGGGTGCCTTTCTGTAATTTAGCAAATAGGTAGCCAGGACTTCTTTGGTTCCTTCAGAGCAAAGGTTCAGTCCATATTCAATTCAATTCAGTTTATTTCTATAGCGCCAATTCACAACACATGTCATCTCAAGGCACTTTACAGTTCACCAGATCATACAGTCAAACTGATTGAACGTTTTCTATCCAAGGAAAACCATTTTTCCAAATCTAATGTTTATACCTTTTACCCACATTTAGATCTTTACTACCGTATGTTGTTCTCCTCTTAAATTGAGAAGCTTTAGAATCAGTGGATAATACGACACATAATGATGTGCTTGTTACTCTGGATTTGTTGCCATATTTCCATGATACTGCAAAGGTGTTGATAAAGGTAACGACTCAAACAACAAGTCTTCTCTGATCTGTGGTGGCAAAAACGGTTGAATCAAAAGGCAAAACACTCGATTCACAAGTTTGTATCCTAACACTCAACTGTGATTAGAAAGAGTTGATCAATAGCAAAGGTGTAAGATGCTGGATGTGGGTGGTTATCTTACGCTTCTTTAAAATACATAAATAACAAGGTTCTTGTCATGGTCAGGCACTTATATTTTAGCTTCATTAGGCCACAGAACATGTCTCTTTATATATACCTGTTCCTCCAATTCAATTCAGTTTATTTCTATAGAGCTAATTCACAACACATGTCATCTCAGGGCACTTTCCAGTTCACCAGATCATACAGTCAAATTAATTCAAAGTTTTCTATCCGAGGAAAACCAGTTGATTGCATCAACTCATTCATTCGAATACAATCCCTCACACTAAGCATGCTTGTAGCGACAGTCGAGAGGAAAAACTCCCTTTTAAGAGGAAGAAACCTCCAGCAGAACCAGGCTCAGTGTGAGCGGCCATCTGCTGAGGCCGACTGGGGTTTAAGGAGACAGAAGCTGAGATACAAAAAACAAGACGGTTAAAAAACAAGAGTGTCTTCAGTCAGACTCCTTCATATACTGATGCCTCACAGACCTCTACAAAGTTTCCTCACTGCCTGCAGCTATCAGGGTTTAAATTCCCTCTGAAATCATAAAGTATTTTTGAATTGTATTTAACAGACCAGATGAATGTGGAACTACAGGACATTTGGAAAGTCCTAATAGTACCTAATGATGAACAGGTCTGCTGGATATTTATCGTAATTTATTTCCCATAAGGCCATAGAGGGGGAAAAAGTATGTCTGATTGATTGATTGATTGACTTTTCTGATCTCACAGTGGAGAAATGTACCTGTAACATCAGCTCAAATGATCAAAGGAGAAGAAAAAGGTGCCAAAGGAAGAAAAAGGTTCATGGCAGATATGTACAAAAGTAGCCATTCAAAATTTCCCCACTATCCTTGATGGGCCCTTGGCTGGTCCCCTACAATTCCTTTTTAAACATCAATCTTTGTACTAAAATATTCTTTTTGTCATGATTTGTGGACATTAACATCTTAAGGCAAGCACCATCTGATGGTCCGCCCCTATAATTCCGTGAAAAGGTGGAGTCAGAGTAAAGAAATATGCAAGAGGGGGTCAGTCCAGAGGCTGGAACTTGGAGGAGATATTGCTGGGAGTTGGAGGCAAGTGGGCTGCCATTTGGCTGGCGAAGAACTGGGAAGGACCATTTTGAATGACTGCTACTGTATACAGAGCCTCTGTCAGGGCTCCAGTCTGTGTGTTTGTCTCCCTTCCTACACCAGGAGGCGCCTGGTTCTGGTCCGCCTCCTCACACACCTGCTGATGGTTACCTTGTTAACGGAGTGCTCTTAAGCTGCTGATTGCCACTACCTCGACGCCAGAGTGTTTGCCAGTTTTTGGCAGTCATCCTGCAAACAGGATCTTTCGGACCTTCACTCCCTGGAGGGATCAACTGAGCCTCAAACTGAGCTGGGGATTCAAACTGGAGGTTTGGATCCATTTTCCCAGAGAGGACTTTGAGTTTACACACTGAGCAAGGGAATCATCTCCACTACAACCCGTTCAAGTACCGCAGGAAATCTGAGTGGCAGTCAGCTTCTCCGTTCACCTACAACCGACCGTGTTTTGGGTAAACCCTGTTCCGCTCCCTCCACCGAATCAGACTAACACAGCACACAGATTGGAGTCAAAGATTCTATAACTTCTCTGGAAACGTTAGTCAACAACCAGATCCTCTTCTCCAAATCCTCAAATGACATTTCCCACTGAGCCTGAACTAATTGCTGTGTCTTCCCCTCACCTTCCAGCTCTGGCTAAGCAGAGTTCAGAGCAACACTGCTCTTTGCTTTATCTCTTCAATAAAACCCGTTAAACCTTTTCACCTGGTCTCTCTGTAATGGTTTCTCTGCATTTGGGTCTCATCTTTAGTTAATCATGACAGCCTCCACATATGACAGCTTTTTTAATAGTAGGATTATTATACCAGGTTATTGCACAGGGTGTTTACATGGGTATTCATACAAATGGATATTTACATATATATATAGTTATTGCACTTTGTGTCAAATATAGAGAAACAGGTTATTGCACAGGGTATTAAATAGTAATTGCACATTATATTTTGCACAAGGTATTGCCATCGTAGTGTCACATTCGGAGTATGGGGGCAGCAGGGATGAATGGCCTCGTTTTTACAATCAGGGTCTAAAAGTCTTTCACTAAAGGAGCTGCTCAGCTCCTCTGCAGTCTGGTTTAGAGTGTGGAAAGTCCATGTTTGTCCATGATGGATGTAAGCTTGGACAGCACCCTCCTCTGAGCCACTTCTTTAACTGAGTCCAGAGTGCAGCCTTACACAGAAGCAGCCCTTCTCACCAGTTTTTCCAGTCTCTTTCTGTCCCGTCCTGCACTGCCAGGGGCCCAGCAGACAACAGCATACAGGATGGCTAAAGGTTTTAAGCAGGGGCCTGCTCACTCCAAAGGACCCCAGCCTCCTCCTGAGGTGGAGACGTCTCTGGCCCTTCTTATACAGGGTGTCTGTGTTATAAAACCAGCCCAGTTTGAGTTATCACCTTAAAATACCTTTATAAATGAGGCTTCATTTAATCTAAGTGTTGCATAAAGCTACAGAACTTACATTTTTGCAGCATTTTAATCATGCAATATGTCATTTCTGAATTTGAAAATAAAAGCAATTGCTCTATTTAGCAAATAGATTTTTTTTTTTATTACCGGATCTAAAATAGTAAAGGTTGTTATTGTTGTTAGATAATGGGAAAACAGCTTCTTTTTTGATTAAATAATTGAAATGATTGCACTTTTTGATTATATTATGATTCCAGTTTACCACCTTTTTTTTTTTAAATGTTTTATTTCAATCCCTCCAGAAAGTGATCATTTGCTGAACAATCCCAAACCCCCCTCCTCTGACTCTGCAGATGTTAATCAGGATGTAAAGAAAAGCCCCTCTGTTAAAAGTTAAACATTGCCCTGTGTTTACGCAGCCTCTCTCCATCTTCCTTTAGTATTTGTCGCTCCTCTATCTGTGAGTGTGTGGGTGTGCGTCTTCATCCGCGCTTTTTTTTTTTTCCTCTCCCTTTTCCCTCACCCCGCCTGTTCTGCTGGGGGGACTTGTGAATGGCAGCCAATGGGAGGGTAGAGTCCCCTCAGCCTCTCAGCCTCTCTGACATCCACACAGCGAGAAGTGATGCAGTGCCGCTGAGACGCGCAGTCGGGGCGGAACAACGGGCAACAAAAGCCGCAGCGAGCGGATACTCCGCGCTCAGCCGTGCGTTTTTCCTCCGACTTCCTTTCATTTTTCACCACGTCGTGGGAAGAAAAAAAAAAAAATAAAAATCTCTCTACGCTGGAATAAACTTTCCCAAAAATCAGGTAAGCGGATATTTGCTTTTAACTTCCATAGATGGTGTTGGGAGCGCATCCATGTTCCTGGCACAGCTAGAGCAGAGTTTATAGCTGCGTTTTGATTTGCTTTATTGCTTTCTTCACCTTCCTTCACCTTAAATAGGATCAAATGCTCTGATAGATACCTTACAGTAGGAATAACGCACGGATTGCGCTGTTAGATTACCAGAAAATATTGTCATTTTTCATAGTAAATACTGATAATTGCGCATTTAAATATTTTATAGTCATGACGCGCATCCAGGTTTCATGAGGGGGTGATATTTAACTTTTTTTATTGGTTTTTCTGGGGAAAAGGCGCGTGCCCCTCATGGTGCACTAAAGGTCCGGCACCGGCTTGATTAGATCAGATGTGCACCTTTTCCAAAAAGCTTTTTTTTTTTTTTTTTTTTACACGCCCTCCAAGGCGCACGTTGATCCCCACTGGTGACAGATCCACGCCACGAAAATCAATGCAGGTGGGACTGCTTTAAACGTTCAGCCATCCCCACTAGAGTTCAGTCAAGTTCTCCTAAAAACAACATGTCCTGCAGGGTTATTGACAACCAGATGATGGGCTCTCCCCGATGTGTCTTTGAATGTTTAATGTTCTCTCTGAATAATGCAGGGGAACTATAAAAGGCATGAAGTTGGCTGTTTTACTTAAGCCTGACTGATGGGGAGAGGTGTTCTGGCTCTAAGAAGCCTCTGCAGTCCTGAGGCAGGGAATTAGAGCTTAGAAAAGTTGCATCCAGATTGCTAAAAAACCTTTGTAAAGCTGAGGTAATGTGCCAGTTCACAGCCAAGAAGTTGTTTATGTGACTACCAGGAGGAATATTCAGCAAAAATTACAAAACCGGTTCTCATCATCATCACAGGCAGCATGATCTGAACAGCAGTGTTTACATTTGAAAAGAAAAAGGTCAGTGCTCAGGTTTTATTTGTGCTTTTTGGGGGAAGAACAACTTCTGAGCAGCACAGTGAAAGGGAAAGTGGAGAGCTGGTCCGACTGATTCAGACGGGCCCAGGTTTGAAGTTCGGAGATGAAAGGGACAGAGGTGGAATCTGTGGCTGATCAAAGTCAACCGGTGGAACATGGGCGGTGCTGCCCATGCTGTGTTCGTGCCTTCCCTGGGAATCCTTAGTGATTTTTTTTCTTTTTTTCCCACCAGTGCACCTCTCTCTTCTCTTTCCGACATCTTCGCCCGCCGTTTGTTGCAGGGTATTCCAAATGAAAGGGGGTTTTAGTCATTGTGTCTGACGGCTCTGGCATTGACGTCACAGGATGGTGGGTTTACCCGATGGCCAGGCGACTATGACTGGTGACCCGAGCTGATTACATTATTTGTGCTCCAGATGGGCCACATCGCTCTGATGTGTCTTGCCTGTAATATCAAGTATTTCTAGTCCTCTGCACTGTGACATCTGGAGCTAACGAGCTTCCGTTGGTCGCTTTTGCTTCTAAAAAACACCCTCTGATCACCTCTTCGGCACATTTCTGGCCATCCTTGGTGTGCTGGGTCCTGTTGGATGTTCGTAGAAAACATCCCCTCTATTGGTTGTTTTAGGGCATGAATCGACATTTCTTTTATGTGATTAGAAATCATGGTCTTGGAGTTGCTTTGCTCTCTAATTTCAGATCTTTCACCTTATTTAATGCTTAAGGTTTGTGTCTATTTGAGCAAATGTGCTTTCGTCAAGAAAGCATGTAGCTTAAAGTGATGGATTCCTTTCAGAGAATCCTATTTATGCGGCTGTCAGTACTGTTACTGAATAGAAAGCAGCAGATGCTAAGAGACTTTTTGTCCTCTTCGCTGTAAGTATGAAGACAAAAATCAAAAGCAGTAATTAAAGGTTTACATTTGTAGCTATGAGCCACATCAACAAGTATCCCGCATTTTTAGTTGTCTATACTCACATGGACCACACATATGCAGCATCTAGCTCCCTTGAAGTTGTACGTTAGACATTTGAGGTTACAGGTAAATGTTATTGTTAAATCATCATGGCATTGCTTCATTTGTTTTCCCTCTCCATATTTACTGTTTGTTGAATCCCATAGTGACCATTCAAACAATTTTCCTCACAGTAAGAATGGCAACTTAATAAATCTCCATCCTTGCCTAATGAGGCAGATTCCCTTCAGAGATGTCTATTTATGGAACAGTGAGGACTTTAATTGGACAGAAAGTGACATAAGGAAAGATTTACGTCCTGCCTTCTGACACGTATGCAAACAAAAGGCAGAAACTGTGACGTGGGTCCGTGGATAAATTACTAATGCAGCGTTCTGGGGTGTATTTAGCTACTTGTGGACGGTAGTCGAGTGCATATGGTTGGATGTGGGTTGAATGTTTGAGGTTTTTTCCATAGTGAGCGGTTTGGAAAAAAGATTGTATACAGTAAAGTCAGTTGAGGACTTTACCAGGGCCAGGAATAACCCTCAAATACCCACTGGGAGGTTATGGGATTTATCGTCGCTTATTAAGTGCACATGTGCACATGTGGTTTGAACGTCTGTGAGCTCAAAGCCAGAGATGGAAGAAAGCAATGAGAAGTATGTTGGCTGTTTGACTGTGGACTTTCTTGTTTTGATTCCTCCTGAGAACATATCAAAAGGTTTTCTCTATTTATTGCCTTTTGAGGCTTCATTTGACCATTGGAGCAAATTTCCTCGCCAGCAGAGTGGCAACTTTCAGTATCTCCTTGCCTAATGAGACGGATTCCCCTCAGAGACATCTATTTATGGTGCAGTTAAAACTGTAATTGCACAGAAGGCAACATAAGGAAAGACATACTTCTTGTCTTTTTGATGCATGACGTGAAACTTTAAATTGCTATAAAACCAAGAGCAGCAGCCTCCGTTAAAGTCTGGGCAATATGGAAAAAGATGAGATACAGGCAGTTGTGTCAGTGTGTGGCTATTTCAGTGAAGAGGATTCGAGGACTCAATGGTGACCAGGAATGTAGAACACCCCCCTTTCCTCCCTCAATGAGCTGTGAAGATAAATGCACGTTGATCTTACAGTTTACACCTCACCTAACAATGGGTAATTATCTCTTCCTGCTTTGGTATGTGAACACCAATTACACGGAAATATACTCATAAATCTATTTACAAAGGCCCTGGACAGAGACTCTATGTGTGTGCGCTTATTGTAGGTAAACTGATGAACAGTGTGCAGTGAATGGCTGAGAAACTGGTGGTGGGAGAACAGCGTTGTGCATATGAAATCACTTAGATTCCTGTCGTTTGGGTGTGAGATGGAGTAAATTGCTGCCAATGTTGAATAATGCAAACTGCCAGCAGCTTTTTTTTTTTTTTTATCCCCCTCCTCTTAAACTTTGGCTCGGCTCCACAGCTTTTCTAATTATGAAGTGGCTGAGAGATTGCTTCACAACTCCGACACTGTCATGGTGGCAGCCAGCAGTCTAACTGAATCACCAACAAAAGCCTGACAGACACATGGAGTTTAGCGAGCATTTTCCCCACAATCACATCCTCACGTCTCTCTTTAAATTCGAGGACACACGCATTTAGAGGGGGGCAAAACAAACTGCATTCTGAGAAGGAAAGGTGTTCAGTTCTCCGCACGCTTCTCAGCACAATTTAGCAAGATATATTAGTCAGCCAGGAGGCAGTGGAAAGCCAGCAGTAGACTGCGGTCTGACAGTGGGAGATAGTGATTTACAACAAAGCCCCGTGGACCATGGCACAATTTCAGAGTTGCGGAAATGACACCGGTGAAGCAGGGGCATGAAAGTCTATTCAGCAGCTACGTCTCATTTCTTACATCATATGACCTAGGGAAGGAAGTAGGATAGGGAACGACGAGGCGAATGACAAATCAGCAATGGAAGCTAAAAAAAAATAAACCCCTCACCGTTCAAGGACACAAAAAATTCTACCTCTGTTTTAAAAATGGAGACGTAATCGATTTCTCGACCCCACGAGGGCACTGTTAAGACTCCGGATTGGATTTGGAATTAAATCTCCGTGTCCAATGTGAGTTATGGGTGAGGTGGAGAAGGGGGAGTTGGGGTGCCAACAATAATCTAATAGTACAAATCACAGGTTCAGATCACTATCAAAATCTCATCAACCCTTCCCTAGCTCCAGGCTGGGCTTGCTACCAAATTTCATGGAAATTTGTTCATGGGTTTTTACAGACGCCACGCAGACATACAGATTAAGTGACAGAGGTGAAAATACAACTTCCTCCAGGGGAAAAAAAATGTACATCGGGAATGAAGTGTTCAATCTAATACGTTTGTATTTTATGCACCCAGCTGTAATCCCCAATGAGCTCAACATTTCTCAGAATCTGCCGCTCTATAGCAAAGTAGAGCTAAAAATCCCTTTCGTAGGTTATTTCTGGAATGATGGGTATGTTTCAGTGGTGTTGCCTTCAGGTAGCCAGTTCAGGAGGAAGGGTTTGAGTGAGCATAGCAGACAGATCATGTCTGCCAGTCTTGCCTTCTCCCCTTTACTCTTCCCTAGTTGGATTCCTGTCTGAGCAAAGCCCAGAGGCTTAACTCTGGCTGTAGTAAGTGGACTGAGGAACGCTAAACACTATCTGGGGGAGGCTGCTGAACATGACAGTCGGTTAATAAGAGTATGGAAAAAGAAGAAGTGCAGAAATAAGATGGTAGAGGTGTGATGAGATAGGAGGGCACCGCTGTCTGAATTTGAGGACATTTAGGATCTCAAAGTTGGTCAGAAATGGGGATTTATTGTGGGTTAATGTTGATTTCTGGGTGGCAAGAGAGTAATGGGAGATCAGGAAGTTCAGGAAGGGAGACAAAAAAGGATAAAAAGACGGTAGAGTTTAGAAACAGAGAGAGGTATGACAAGAGAAGGCGGTAATGATGCTTGTTTTGCTTCCGCACGGCAGCCGCAGTGAGAGCTGTCAGCTTCAGGTAACTCTGGCTGCTGCGACTCTCTAAGATGCCTTGCGACGTTAACCCCTTAGACTCTGGCAACAACC